AGGCGGGGGGGGGTTCTCTCCGTCCCATATCTTGCTTCAAATGAGGATAAACAAAACCGGTGTTCAATTTATAGCCATAGTGTGTAGTCTAAAACGGGTTGGATTCATGTCGTCAGCTTGCAATTTGTTTGTTGTTCTTATCTAACATCCCTAACCTAAATTTAGATCTTTTATCAGTTGGAATCAACTTATTTTAAATGAACTCTTCATGAACTCTTCATTATATGTGTGTAAGAAAACCCAGTCAAAGTTATTTAGCTATTATCATAACGAAAGTGGTTTGCTATTTTGACCGATTCAACTTCGGGACAAATCTTGCGCAATACGAAATTGGCTGAAAAGTTCCTCTTCCGTGTCAGGCTCCAAATTTCAAAAACTTTCATCACCACAATACTACACAGTGCTTCATATTTGGTCTACCGTTCAGAGTGTGAAAGGCAAAAAAGGATTTTCAGCCACGTGATTTTTGACTGTCAGTGTTCAATTTACACAGATTTTTATATATAGATGTGAGCGGAAACGCGCACGCCTTCGAAGTCTCTAAGCATTCTTAGGTAGCCTACATGAAATTCCCAATGGAAACACCCCGATTCGAAAATGCACGCACCCCCACGGACATGGTGCGCTTCCCGGAATGCCTCTGCCCGTCGTTTTACGTCACGTGAAAACCTCTTTATTGGGTAAGGTGTATATCGGCGAGACTGGAAGAGATCTCTCTACCAGACTCAAAGAGCACATTGCCCACGGCTGCAGAGGAGACTATGACAAATCGGCCATAGTGAAGCACTCACATGCTGAAGACCACATCATCGACTGGAAAGCAGGAGAACTCATCGTTCCTGTTAACAGATGGCACCCAAGACGCATCAGAGAAGCCATCAAGATCTGCAGACACAACACAGTACCCCAAGACATTGGCTTCAACATAAGCAACATCTGGCGCCCCCTACTACCCAACCAGACCAATGGGTCCTCGATACCCACGTCAACAGTGACACGCACCACCGAGCCCACCAACAGCAATCCACGGGATTAGGATCCAAGCACCAGTGAAGCTGTTCTGCCTCAACGAGTTCCCACTACACTCAATCCTCCCAACCAGTACTTAAGGGCCACACGCACTAGAGTTCGTCACTCTTTCTCCTAAACCCGGACAGAGCACGCTGGCCGAAACATCGAGTGAACCTCGGTTCGTCTCAGAACCACATGCACTCACAAAAGAGAAATTTATCCACATGGTGTCACCGCAAACGTGTCCATAGTTAACCTCTTTACCAT